AAGGAAAAGAATAAAGTTCTTCCTTTATATTTTTTACCCGAAGGGCAACCAGTACAGAGGGGATTCAACATTGCATATACTGTGGTAAACCTTTCACTATTCATAAAAGATGAATCTGTACTGCAACCGCGATCGACACCATCAGCTTATTTGTGCATGTGCAACCACAAACACATCCAGATCTCATACAAACTTTATAGCACTGAGATCACTTAGTTGTATTTTATTTCTAAAAGTACACCCAGGCACGTCATGTGAAATGTTATTAACTACTTTGCTGAAAAAAATAATTCTTTATGACATTAGGATACCATCATTCCTCTCAGAGATAAAAAGCCAAAGAAAATGATTCACAGTCTGGTTTGCAATGTCTTCCAGGAGTTGTATGGAAAATCAAAATTGGGATAAAACATTTGGATTACCAAACACAATGTTGATTTCTGCCCTTCTGGACTGCCAGATCATGAATATATATTGCATTATGAAGATGTGATGACATTTAAAGGAATCACATTTAACCCTCTCTTCTTGTGCCTCTTTCTCCTCTCCCCGCTAATGCATTTTGCAGCAAGGGATACATATTAAAAGATTCAGGGAAAAATGTCAGGCAGAGCAGACCCTCCTTGAGAGCTTGGGGTCATTTCAGACAGGATCCTGAATTCTGGAGCATGCACATTAAAACACACACATCACCTTGTCAAGCGCCCTTTATTTCCTGAAGACTTACTCGAAGCTGAGTTGAAGCTGCTGTTTCTGTAACCTCAACTATAAATCTTATCCCAACCTTTTAAAAATGATTTTAAATCAAAGTTTATTTGTTCTTGCATGTAAGGCCTCTCTCCATATTAGGAAACATGTTCACAAATAGATGTAGGTCTCTAGAAACTCTTGCATAATCATTCTCTATTTCTCAACCTCCCACCTTTGTTTCAGTTTCTCTCTAAATGTTTAGTTTTAAATACTTCATGTGAGTGTTGGAGGAAGCACAGATATACTGCTCTGGTGAGAGAAGCTTGACCAGTTGGGCGCTGTCTCCCACCTCATTACCAGATGCAAATGAAACGGGTACACATGTTTAATATTTAGTGGCAGCAGAAATGTCAGGCTAGCACGAGACAGAATTAAACAGCACTGTCAGCGCAAGTGAACTCAAGGCTTTCTCAGCTATTTCACTTCATATTGAGTTACTGTCACAATTTATCTCACAGCGGTGGAATGTCTGGTGTGAAAATCTTCTGTGATATCTTTAAGGATGGAAGGAGAATCAAAAAAGAAATGTAAAGCGTATTGCTCAGATTAGGTATTATGTTTATTTCCAAGTGAGGTGACAGAGCTTTATTGTCTTAACAAGGCCCTACTGTTCGTTATAGTTCTTTTTCTTTGTGTTTCTTAGATTGTCACCACAACATATTTTGCATTGTATAGCCTTTTAAATGCACACAAAGATAGCAAACTATCAAAGTATGCAATTTCTGTAGGTGAAGTGCTGTAACATGCACGCTTAACTGCTGAGGCACACTCGGTTTGATTTAACAAAGGAGTGGTACCATTTATAGGTGTTTCTAGACCATTCTGCAGTACCCTTGTGAAACTGACCCTGACTCCTTAAGGCCTGTGTTGAAGACATAATATGAAGTCATTTTTTGTGTTTGTATGTGTCGGTACAGAAACAATAACTAACAGGTCCCTTGGACAGATTTCATTTTTTAACATTTAAAGATTCACTTCCAAGTTCATTTAAAAATTAAAGTGTTGCCCTTTTAGTTTTGGTCATACTGAGTTTCGATCATACTGAGATAGATGCTTAATTTACTAGATAAGAAGTCTGCAACCTTCAGCCTCAGATCCAAATGTGGACTATCAGCTTTTTGGTTCACTTAATAAATTAGATGATGGCATATTTTTGGTTGATTCTTTTGGTTCTGTATAATGATTGAAAAACACTGCCCTCCCAACCTGACCAAATCGAAAGATTTGGTCCAGAACTGGTTCCACTTATCTTGAACTAAAAACTTCTGAGTTCCAGATAAAAATCTTAGCTTGATATAAAAAAAAAAGTGAATTGTGGAAAGTTTTTCACTAAAACCCAACCACAAACTCATGAATGTGTTGTGATTCTGCCCTGTCTTGGCTTTTTGGTTCTGTTTAAGTTTGATATAATTGTTTTCATTTACATTTTGTGTCATTTTAGTTGTTTTCTGGTTGTATTTTAGATCTCATGTATTTCTTGTCTACTCTCTGTTGCCCCCCCATGTGCAAGTCTCCTCTCCCCTAGCTCCCTTCTAGCTCCTTCTGTCCACACCTGCCCCCAATTAATTGATTACTCCATTGTTTGCTCTGTTTGGCATATATACTACCTCCTCTGCAGTTACTGGTTGCTGAGTTCTCTTCATTCCCTCCCTAACCTACAGAATGTGTTCTCTTTCGTTCTGGTCCCTGTTTTACTTAATTTTTTTCTTCTGGTATTATATTTCTGTTTCCACCATTCCTTATTAAATCTCTAAGAAACCACCCCAGTTTCTGTGCCTGCATTTTGGTCCTCTACAAACCTTCACTCAACCTGACAGTATGACTACTGCATGGTAGTGATGGTGACGGTGGCCATTTTAATAACAGTTTTTACAGTTTTTGGTTTTAATCTGATTGGAAGTTATGTGTCCAACCAATCTTTTGGTTAACCATTTAATCCCATAGGGTCTTATGAGCAAATTCCACCTGAAATTACATATTTGAATTAAATGAAATACAGCTCCCATACTATAGATTGGAAATACAATTGTTTGTATTTGTATCACAGAAGGGCTTTGAGGAATATTTTTCAGATGGAACCACTATTTTAAATGTCACCAAGTCTGATTTATAGGTGATTAAACAAAGAAAAAATTAAAAATATTCAGTCTTGCCAAAATCTTTTCCAAAATAAACTTTGCAAAACACAATGAAAACCCATTTGAAACTCTCAATGACCCCTCAGACTTTCATATTACTCCTTAGTGTTTATAAGCCTAACCTCTAATGGATGTGGTAGGTTCAAGGGATGTGATGATAAAAATCAAAAAGCACTGGCAATCTGAATGCTCATGTTGTATTTCGTTTGACTTTCATTTTCATCCAGGCTATGACTACTCATTCATAAAGACTCTTTAGAACAACCATCCCTGCTCCACAGAAATTGTAAATGGTTCTGCTTTCTTTTACGTTTCATTGTCTTGCTATGATGTAATCATATTCCTGTTCTGACTCTTGAAGGAGGCACTCACATTTCCTGCTGCTCTGCAACTCCCTGATCTGTCCATGCTTTGCTGTGTCTTGTCTTTTATAAGCCCTCTCTTCATATCACACAAACTCAAACAATGTATCTGGTCAGCTGGTATCTCAATGTAATTGATAAAATTTTCTCAACTGGAAGACAGGAAAAAGGGGACCTGTCCTGCTGGGGCATACTTTGTGGTATACACCATGGACTCCTGGAAGGCTTGGAGGATGGTGTGTTTTACAATGCTGCCAGTGGAGGATATCGAAGATGTATGGGTTTTTGGTTTTATGATACTCGGATTTCTCCTGTTTGGAGTTGGAGGATACCTGATGTATCTACAAATACAGAGGACGTCGGCGGCAATTTGGGCATTGATCAGTCTGTCGGCAGCGGTTGACACCCTCACAAAGGCTGTGAAGGAACAAGCTTGGGAGATTAGCCGTATGTTGGGTGCGACTGAACGCAGACTGGCTGTTCAAAAACAAATTTTGCCACCGTCATCCACCACTTCTGTCTGTGTTGATTAATCCGTGTTGATTCGCAATGACTCATGGGAAATGGAGGAGCCTAGGACACTTCCGATCCTGCAATGTAGCCTGCTGGCATGTATGCTCCAGCGCCCAGTATTAGACGTAGACTTAGACAGATTTACTTTGTCATTTTGTATAGACAAGTGTAAACAAAAAGAAATTTCATTTAGAACAGCTCTTTAGACAATTTAATTTTTCCATCCATATGAGTTAATGTAATTTATCCTGGAGTGGAGGAAGAGTCAATTTTGTTATTCTTTTATAAAAGAATAATAACAATCTAAAAAAAGAGCACCCTTTCCTTTATAAATGAGAAGCGGGGCAAAAATGATGGTGACCAGTCATTCTCAGACTAGAGAGGAATGGGACCTTGGAAAGAAGAAGAAAGAGCCTGATTTTTTCAATAATGGTAAGCATTATTGAGCTGTTTTATTGTACGAGTGCCTGATAACGGAAAAAGTTTTGTCGTGGACAGGCAGTCAATGAACTCCCACTGCCTTCTAAAAAACTCAAAGCATTTCATTATTCCAAGGTGAAAGCTTTGAAACAGCATTTTAAATGTTACCCCGCTGTTCAAGATCATGAAAACCTTTAATTTCATGCAAATGAACAGCAAGGAGCATGGAGCTTAATGTAAACGAAAGCTTCTTTTGTACTGCTGAAGGAGTGAGCCAGAGCGGGAGACCAGGAAGAAAATTCCCAAGGATTCTTTAATTGCTATCTGAAATTATGTAAATCCCTCTTCTAGGCTGAGTGCAATTATCCAGTGCCTCTTGCTGCCAGCTTTACTAATGTCTAACAAAATATCGGTGGCTGACATTTAGACGTGGTAATGCAAATGAGAATTAATTTTTCTTCCAAGACAAAGGGCAGCCGAAAGATCACACCATTTTATAGAATAAAGGCTGAAAAAAGTCACTTTTGCATGACGACAAAAATTGTAGATTAAATAGCAAAGTGTTGAAGCCTATTTTATATCTAAGCTGCAATCAGAAATACTATGACTTCTTTCTGTTTTGGGAGAAAAATCTATTTCTATTCCAGCAGAGAAGATGCTGCAGACATTCATTTAGCTTTAAAATTAATTGCTCTGTGCTTCTCATTTTTAGTAATGATGCGGGGGAACCCTCCCTGTTCTTCATTGTTAGAACACCCCCCTGCCATGGCTGTGATGTCGTACTGTTCGGGTCACATTTTCCCATTTATCTCCCCAGGTACAGAGATGGATGTAGGCCAACCACTGCAGCCTGGTGAGGCTCCCCTGTGTGCAGCTCAGAACACCTGCCCCGCTGCGCATTGGCACCCCTAGTCTTTACCAGGCCAAGGAGGAGCATCTTCTCTCCACCATGCTTTCACAAGGCCACCGCCCCCTGGGACCAAATGGGGGAAAATGAGACGAGGGGGGGCCCTGTTTTTCGCGGGGAGATCTGCCACCCAAAACAACATTCCTTAACCAGAAATCAAATTACAAGCTGCTGACACGGAGGAAAACTGCCTATTAATATTTTAGTATGGTTACTGAGTGCATGACACCCCCGGTAGGGAGCACTCACATCCAAGACAAAAAGCATAGTGATGCACCAACAAGTGCCTGACTCTGTATTGCTACATGATTCTATTCCTAACAAACCTAGAATTGAATTTTACAAATTATTAAGTTAAATAAAATCCCAAATCTCCTTATATGTGTTGAATTATTTTCTTGTCCTTGCTAGACTTGCACATTAGAGGTTTACATACTGTACACTGTATAAAAAAGAATGCTTTTTCATCAGACTTTTAGGCCAGTTAAAATGATCACAATCTTGTATATAGTATTTGCTACTTTTAAAATAAAAGCAAAGATTTTTAAAAATACATTCATATCCAGAACCTCATATTTCTTATTATTTTGTAGGGCAGCCTTTCAATATCCAGGACTCGAATAAGTGCTTTGGGTTCTCCTACCACAACCATCTCACAGCAGTTAGTTGAAATGTTGGTCCATTTCCTCATGAAAGACTTGTGTAACTGAGCCAGATTTGTTGGCTGGATGGCCCAGAAAATATATTACAGCTTTATTCACAAATATTCCAAAGGATGTGACAGTAACTTTAAACATCAGCTGTGTTTTTCTTCAGGCTTCATTGTACTCAATCCCAAACATCATTGGTAAGTTATTGAGATACTGTAAATTTACATTGCATCTGGAAATGCACCAGTCCAATTTCAGCAAAATAATCCTGCATTACAGTACAGATTGTAGTCATTTGAAATTTTCTTCTCTTTCCAACAAAATGATGGCAAATGTTATTATTGCCAAAATTCAGGACATGTTTTTACAAAACACTTTTTTTGTGCATATTTTGAATTATAAACTGCATTTAATTTATTCTAATTGACACTTTTTCTTCACTCATCTGCCTTTTTTCCAATGTTGGTAGAAGACTTGTTTTATTTTATGACGAATGAGAGATTGTTAGATGTTTTTGTAGGTTTTCTATTTTTTTTTAGAACCATTACCATGGTTATTAACCATTCTTGTCTGCACTTTGGTCCTACTCCAACCTAACACATTGACACTCTTATGAGTCATTTGCTCCAGTCATGGAGTAAAAAAACAATGTGTGCATTTTGCACCAAAGCATTTTTCAGTTAGTGACTGTTTCTTCTAAACAGCTTGATCGCTGCACATTCCATTGGTGTTTATACATAAAGTTGTCTTGAAGGATAAACCAGCACTTTCGCAGGTTGCTTTAGGTTGCTACGTTGTGTCACCAATTGAAATAGGTTTGTTTGAAGTGTTGCTTTAGAATACATCCACAGGAGTGCCTCAGTTTATGTTGTGAATTATTATTATTATGTTGTGAAGGCCAAGGCGTCGTCATCCTCTTGGATTACACAATGCTTTTAAAGGTAACATTAGTTTAGTGTAAAGTTAGAACTTAGGGGAAAATAAATGAAAAACATATTCCTTTTTATATATGTGTTAAATAAGTAAATTAAATAAATAATTCACATTAATTAATATACATCACAATCGTACAAATAAATTGTGAAAACCTGTGCGTTTGAAGAGTAACATTTAAATGAATTTTAAGAGTTAACACTAAGAATTGTTGAAGTCAAATAATTTTTCACAGGTTTACATTACATATATTTGTATCAAAGCTTTAAAGATGGGCCTAAAACATGTCCAACTTTAGATTTGATGATCTACTGAAATTGTAAATCCCATTTTTGCCAGAGAAAAAGTAAACAATGTCTTCTTCCAACGCTTACTAACTATTTTGGGCCGTAAAGTACACTATATTGCCAAAAGTATTTGCTCACCCATCCAAATTATTGGAATCAGGTGTTCCAATCACTTCCATGGCCACAGGTGTATAAATTCAAGCACCTAGGCATGCAGACTGTTTTTACAAACATTTGTGAAAGAATGGGTCGCTCTCAGGAGCTCAGTGAATTCCAGCGTGGAACTGTGATAGGATGCCACCTGTGCAACAAATCCAGTCGTGAAATTTCCTCGCTCCTAAATATTCCACAGTCAACTGTCAGCTGTATTATAAGAAAATGGAAGTGTTTGGGAACGACAGCAACTCAGCCACGAAGTGGTAGGCCACGTAAACTGACGGAGCGGGGTCAGCGGATGCTGACGCGCATAGTGCGAAGAGGTCGCCAACTTTCTGCAGAGTCAATCACTACAGACCTCCAAACTTCATGTGGCCTTCAGATTAGCTCAAGAACAGTGCGCAGAGAGCTTCATGGAATGGGTTTCCATGGTCGAGCAGCTGCATCCAAGCCATACATCACCAAGTGCAATGCAAAGCGTCGGATGCGGTGGTGTAAAGCACGCCGCCACTGGACTCTAGAGCAGTGGAGACGCGTTCTCTGGAGTGACGAATCGCGCTTCTCCATCTGGCAATCTGATGGACGGGTCTGGGTTTGGCGGTTGCCAGGAGAACGGTACTTGTCTGACTGCATTGTGCCAAGTGTAAAGTTTGGTGGAGGGGGGATTATGGTGTGAGGTTGTTTTTCAGGAGCTGGGCTTGGCCCCTTAGTTCCAGTGAAAGGAACTCTGAATGCTTCAGCATACCAAGACATTTTGGACAATTCCATGCTCCCAACTTTGTGGGAACAGTTTGGAGCTGGCCCCTTCCTCTTCCAACATGACTGTGCACCAGTGCACAAAGCAAGGTCCATAAAGACATGGATGACAGAGTCTGGTGTGGATGAACTTGACTGGCCTGCACAGAGTCCTGACCTCAACCCGATAGAACACCTTTGGGATGAATTAGAGCGGAGACTGAGAGCCAGGCCTTCTCGTCCAACATCAGTGTGCGACCTCACAAATGCGCTTCTGGAAGAATGGTCAAAAATTCCCATAAACACACTCCTAAACCTTGTGGACAGCCTTCCCAGAAGAGTTGAAGCTGTTCTAGCTGCAAAGGGTGGACCGACGTCATATTGAACCCTATGGATTAGGAACGGGATGTCACTTAAGCTCATATGTGAGTCAAGGCAGGTGAGCAAATACTTTTGGCAATATAGTGTATATTAATGTGCATAATTGTCGTGGATTTTTTTTAAGTGCAGTGCTTTTAGAAAATGTAAATAAGTTGATGGAAAAATCGGACCTAATTTGAAATCAAGTCCTATTCACAACCCAATGCAACAACGTCCAAGTCATTTGGTTATTTAATGTCAACTAGTACAAACTGCTTTATCCAGGAAAAGCATTGAAAAATAGATCAATTTGCTGAATTTGTAGCAATAACATTAGCATTTTTTTTTTTGGTCGAACAGATTTATGACAATAATAAAAAAAAATCTAATTCTAGATGATTAACAACTAAGTGTGATAAAAAAAAAAAAATTAAAAACTTGCATTCAGTGTTTTATTGAGTGTATATTCCCTATGTATTCTATATTCAAATGTTAAAGGGAAAGCAACATAACTACATACATGTAGAATTAACTGGAATGGCTTTAAACAGAATTATAACTGCAAAGTTGTTTTTTTCAGCTGACCGTCTCATATGGTTGGTAGTCTCAGCAAAGATCCCCAGTCTACGCTTTCCACAGGTGCCTCAAACAGCTCCTACAGGGGCAGCCCAAGATGTTCCAGGGTCAGCCAACAGATATTGGCTGCTCCCAAATAGTCTGAATTAGTAAAGACCCTTCAAGCCAAAGCAGAAGTTGGTCAGTCGCTCCATGAAGTGCTTTCCTAATAGTTCAATAGTTCATTCAACATAGGGAAACCCCAATCTTCCTGTCTTTCTCATAGGAGTTATACGACCGCCCACAATCCTTTGTGTGACAGGATTGGTAGAGAGTATAGCCTTCTGCTATATTTGTGATAATTAGTATTTTGACGTTTTTTTTTCAGAAAGCTGTAATCACAATTTGACAAGCATTATCCGTGTGTGTCCATCACATAATGATGTATGTAAGGCTGAAGGATGTCCAGATTCAGAATAGTATTTTGTTGATTATGAAGGGTTAAAGGACAAGAACAAGGGAACAGGAGTTAGAAGATAACATTTGAGACATTTGGAAGCCGAAATAACCCTTCTCCGTGTCCTGTACCAGAAGGTACATCCAGATGGAATCCAAGACAGATGTCGGAGCGACCTCAACTGATTCCATTTGATATGGAGGAGAAGCAGCTCTACAGTGGCCAATCTCCTTACCCTATCACTGAAGGAATGACCAGCCACCTTGTAGAGGAAGCTAATTTCAGCCACTTGTATCCAGCATAGTTACATATAGAGAATAGGTTAAATTTTAACAAAGGTAATATTAATAAAATTTTGGATGAAAAACTAAATTTCAAAATACAAACACATAATGTTCTAATGGCCTTTGTTTTTAATAAAGAATGATGAAATACTTCACTTATATGTTATTACAAATTATTATAGTGTCTGACTCTAAGATTGTCCGATTACTCATATTACTTTTAAATGTGTGTTATCTTTATTCAAAACAAATCATCACCAGTCACGAGCTCAAGCTTTGAGAATTCACCGTGCATCACCTTTATTTTGTTTCAGAGATAGCCTGTCTAACAGAAAGCCTTATCGTGCATGCTAATGTTATCTCAGGTTCTGCACCTACTGCTAATGCATTGAATTTGTAGGTATTTACTATTGTATGTAATCCCCTCCACACCTCATATAAACCCCCACCCCCCACCCCCCACCCCCCTTTCCTCACCCAAAGCTTTCTAACCTCCATCTTCCCTGCCCCTCCACCACCCATACATCCATCAGAGACTGTCATGGTAGAGGAGGCTTCGATGCTCCTTCCTGATGCGGCCATCAAGGCCCTCCATCTAACACGAGCCGACACATCATAATAACAGTAAGAGGCCTTTCCTGTCCAGTGTCATGCTTGGAAAGATTAGTTCCTCTCCACAAAACCCAGGTAATTTGCTTTTGCTGCAACACATTTGTAGATCGTATTCTTTCAGGTTAACTAGTTCATGAGGAGAGATGAGACACTCTCTTCACAGTATTTGCTTCTAAGTGACATTTTTCTTCTCTGCAGTTCTGAGAGCAAACCAAACAATGGTTTTCTCTTTTTTTCAAAGTAAATAATGT